TCATTGTTTTTTTTTTAATCATGACTTTAAATTAAGAAATAAATTAAATCAAATATTTATTAGATTAAAAAGACGGTTAAGATTAGTTTGTATGGTTGGTTAGAATTACATGGTTTGTAAATAAAACATCTCATATACATATATGTGTGTCTATATATATATAGAGAGATGAGCGATCAAATCCAAAGCACCAATATTTGTACAAACCGTGTAAACCATCTTTATCTGTCGATTTCATTGTTTAATTTTATGAAATTTTTTATATAACATTTTTTTATGAAGTTGTTTCATATATGATTATGAAATTTTAATGAAACTGTTTCATGTAATTCTTTTAAATTAATATACTGAAGATGATAATATTCATGATTAACACCCTCCAGAAAAATAATAATTAATCAACCTCTCATAATTACATAAAAAAACAAATTAAAAAATTATGATTGGTGGAATAAGGTTTGTACGGTTTGTACAAATAACGTGGTTTGCAAAGTAAACCTCATCCTCTCTCTCTCTCTCTCTCTCTCTCTCTCTATATATATATATATATATATATAGAGAGAGAGAGAGAGAGAGATAGGTTCAAACGAGAACGCTAACTATTTAAGAAAACAAGAAGATAGTCATTAATGTACAAAATCAGATATGATTTACACACACACACACACACACACACACATATATATATATATTCATGTACAAAATCATACAGGTTCAAAAGTCATCCGCTTCCATTTCTTTACGTCAATGTAAAATCACATGTAATTTTGCATATTAATAACATTTTTCTTGTTTTCTTAAATAGTTAGCGTTCTCGTTTGAACTCCCCCCCCCCTTCTCTCTCTCTACACACACACTATAACGTGAGCACAAATTAAAGAAAATACGTCAGCTCATTAGTCAGCTCCTCCACAAACTTAACAAACAAAAATCTTCGTCAAGACCCAAACAAGTCAGGTGTTACTTCACCTTTAACAAAAAACAAATCTTACGTTTAAAACATTAAAACCAACCAACGAAGACCGTCCAAACCCATCATCCATTTTCACAAATAAAACCAACAATAACTGTATCTTGAATCGAACCAACCAACCAACCATACCATCTTGATAGCATTAAAAATCTAGCATTCTTGAGTAGGCATAACATTAGATCCAATTATTAAGGGTACAATTCAATTATTAGTTTACCTTATCCCACTACAAACCATTCAAATCAAATTCAAGAATTTATACCCTTCACAAAAACAAAAGTAAAAACCCTAACTTTCCTTTCCAGAGTAAAAGTTATTGGTTCAAACACAAGTAGACATTTTGGGACCCTTTCTTTCCAAAAGGAATACACTTTTTCCTCATCATTTCCATCTATTTGCCATGCAAATCACAAACCTTATCATTTTATTTTTTTATTGACTTTTAATTTAATAATTTAAACAAAAAGGGTATATTTATTTGTTCCCATTTAGATCTTATATGATTTGTTCCCATTTTGATTTTATATGCATAAAATAATCATTGAATCTTCAATTTTTTTATTTTTTTAATTAGAATTATAATTTCAAGAATTGATAAAATAATTCATTTAATCTATTTTTTAGTAATATTTTTATAATATTATATTTATGAGTATGGATCATTACAATCAGTACAAACTTCGTAAATTGATCTCGATATTTCATTTAGTCTAATGAATATCTTAAGGGACTGTTTGACAGTTGATGAATAGTTTAGTGCAGAATAATTAAGTGGTCAGAATGACTAAGAGGCTCTCATGATGTAGTGCAAAATGAAATATAATTGTTTGGTAATTGTTTACAATGAAATTAGGGCGCTTAATGGTTAAGGGAGGCTTAAGTTACAAAATCATTCTGATAGTTTTAGAACCATTAAGAGACAGACTTTTTTTTTGTCAAACAAGATTCACCTTTTAACGATTCATAGTCTGCCTCTTAATGGAACTATTAAGAGGTAAACAAACAACCACTTAATCTTTCATAAATATCCAATATGAACCCTCGTTATTTTCATAAATATTTCAATCTGTTGGTTCGTATGATTTGCACTAATAATTGGGTTTGTAATAGAACCATCTCTTATGTTTATTATGTTAAATATTCATATAACTTATAGATGAAGAATTAATAATAACGTATTGTTTGTTTTTAATAAAAGAACTCTTATCAGTCACTTACGTCTGATTCGTTAAGAAACAAGGTCATTTAAATTGTTTTTTTTTTCAATTTTTCAGAGGCACTTATGTCTTATTTTTCACTTATTTAATAAGAGGTAAACCGATCTCTTATTTGCCTCTTATTGTTCTTCATATCCTCAACAACAACGTATTTCAATCGATCATTTCTCTCAATCAATCATTAACAAGTCAATCTCCACCTCTCTCAATTAATGTATTTTAACAAGATGTAAATGCGTTAAACACCGTTAATGACATATTTTTCTTTAAATGAATGCTAATTATATAATTTAGATGTAAATTTTATAATGATGATGAATAAATATGTGAAATTGTATAAATTTATTTATCAATCCAACATTATAATTTTTAATAGGTAAAATAGAATATTTAAACAAATTTAAACATTTATCAGTTTACAAAAACAAACAGTCCTATTGATTCAAATTTCAAATTTCAACACCACCTCTTATAAATCAAAAATAAAATAATAATTCAAACGTCAACAACTTTTAAAACACAAACATCACCTAAAAATTAACGAATCTAACTTCATTCATTTTGATCCGTAACACAACTCCAACCTATGCCACCTATAATTTGTACACACAATCATATCAGCTACATCACTTTCATTTAATAAATTGATAAATATGTTATTAATTATTATAATATCAATGTCAACTTATTTTTTAATTACCATTTTCATAATTTGTTTAAAAATGACCATTATAATTACTAAA